ATCTGAACATAAGTCAATAACAAAATAATGACAAATGAAATAATAATAGTCTACCTACGAAGCCTCTAAACGATTGATATGAATGTTAGAACAGAACCACGACATCCTAATGAACTAACTAATATTGAAAAGATAAAAAGGGATCCTCCTAAAGTGAGGAGGCTGATCAATAACTCTAGAGCTCAACTAGAATAGACGATGCGCTGGATGATGATCATATTTACATGTGTATGCATCATAATAAGATGCAGGCATAATGGAATCAATACATTGAATGAACGAGTATGCGAAGGGAATTCTAGAACACAACATAAGCTTGAAAGGAACTGAAGAACTTACTTGGTTTAACTCAATTCAACATAACTGAACTCATTTCAATATAAAGCAGTTTAAAACGAGGGCAATATAAAGAAAAATTATTTGAAATATGATGTCAACTCTGCGTGTATGAAAAGATACAGATAACTCTGAAATGTATGTAAAAATAAAAATAAACTGTGTATATAAGAATATAATTACTTATGTGAGAGTTTCTTAAACCGACAACCATCATGAAAGAGCTATTATGATGATATATCGTTTTGCTTCATGATGCCAGAGTAGTCTGAACTACTAAGTAGATCCATCGGTCTATGCTAAAAAGCACTAAAGGAATCATCTAAAAGGTATGAACCTTGCCTACCCATGATAACTATGAGACTCTGAATTATCTGAACTCTTCTCCATATCGGTGCTCAATACTACTCCAAAAAATATGATACTAGCTCTTTAAAAACATACTTCTTTCAGTGATTTGAGATAATTTCTAAAAAATTTATCCCAAAGGTTATCTTGGAGATCAAATTTTCCCCTCTTGCTTAATTGTGAAAGTATTTACTCTTTACTGAAAATTATCTCAAAGGCTTTTTGGAAATCAAAGTTTCTTTACTTGATTAAATGTGAAAATACTTTTGAATCGTTGGGAATACATAGTCCCCATATACTTTTAAAGAGATGAGCTTCAACTTTACTCTTTACTCAACTACAAACTCAAGTCTTAAAACAAAGTTAAATCATTTTTAAATGACTTTTGGAAGAATCTATAAATTTAATTGACTTGGCTCTTAACTTATCTTGACTTGACTCTTAACTGATCCTTGAATTAAATTATGGATTCAAAAATTTTAATTTATGTTATGAAAGATTACATGATGTTTATGAGTGTTTTTAGATAGTTAAACCTGACAAAAAATCAAGAAATCATTGCCTAGAATCATGTCCGCGACGCCGAGATGCATTTAAATAATTTGATCGCAAAATAAATTTTGAGGCGGAACATTTCGTGAACACATGGAGAACATTTTTGTACCCACTTGTTCCTTCTTGTTTTTTAACCCCAATTCACCTAAATATGATTTTTTTACTTCAATTATCTTTAGATTTAAATATCCAGCATACATGAACAAGAATCTAATCAAACACAAATCTAAAATCGACCTTAAACTCTCAAGAACTCCTCAATTTCATCCCAAATTCAAGAACAAAAGTAAATTCAAGAAGACACATCAAAAACATTCAAACTTTAAACTTTTAGGACGAATTCATATTGAGTTAAACATGTTTAGCGTGTGGTTGAACGAACCAAACATTGTGTGAACTCACATACCTCGTGGGGTTCACCCCTTGACAAAATCCACAAGTGATTCGTGAAGAACTTGACGATTCTTGCTCCTTCTCCTCTTTTTTTTTCTCTTCTCTAAAATCCTAACTCAATATTGTAAGAGCTTAAATGAATCCTATCAATTTAGATCCCAATTAATTATCGAAAAATGAAATTTAAGTCATTGGAGTATGGAAAACACCATAATGCCCTTCTAAAATCTGGAGTAGACTTTTCTTATTTGAACAATTCAACTTCAAATAGATATATCTTACACAAACTCGGCGGCGTTGGAAAGATTATTCCAAGATATTTTCTACGATATATGTAAACACGCCTAACTCATCTTGAGCGAGGAGTTATGATTGTTTGAAGTTAACCAAAAACTCAACTTAACATACTTAATATACAGTATATTAATTCAAAAATATTCGGCTCATTAGTGTTGTGGCCCAAATATACAGTATATTAATTCAAAAATATTCGGCCCATTAGTGTTGTGGCCTAAATATACAGTATATTAATTCAAAAATATTCGGTCCATTAGTGTTGTGTCCAAATATACAGTATATTAATTCAAAAATATTCGGCCCATTAGTGTTGTGGCCCAAATAGACAATATATTAATTCAAAAATATTCGGCCCATTAGTGTTGTGACCCAAATATACATTATATTAATTCAAAATATTCGGCCCATTAGTGGTGTGGCCCAAATATACAGTATATTAATTCAAAAATATTCGGCCCATTAGTGTTGTGGCCCAAATATACAGTATTAATTCAAAAATATTTGGCCCATTAGTGTTGTGGCCTAAATATACAGTATATTAATTCAGAAATATTCGACCCATTAGTGTTGTGGCCCAAATATACAGTATATGAATTCAAAAATATTCGGCCCATTAGTGTTGTCGCCTAAATATACAGCATATGAATTCAAAAATATCAGTACAAAAGGGTAATTATGAAAAAATTAAAAGGAGGACACGAAATTAAGCCCTAAACTAGTGAGATTGTGTTATTTGCTCATTTTTAACGCATGCTATTAAATATTACAATTAATATACTGTACATTTTTGAATTGATGTTGCTTTTGCCAATTTTTCGTTATCGTAACAGAGGATTCGTCTAGTAATTCTGGTGGATCGGGTGAGATCGAAGATGTTTGATTTGTGGTTTGGTGTGTGAAGAGGTCCATAATATAGGAGAGAGTCGTTCATGTGGAGAGAATTAATATTTTTATGCATGTATGCTGATTACTGTGAAACCTCACTAAATTAATACTCGGTAAATTAATAATCTCTTTAAGATAAATTTTTTTCAATCCTGACTTGGGTCAATGAAGAAAATCACTCATCTTGATAAGATTGTACGATAATATATTTTCAGAAGGCTCTTATATAAATATATGATCCCATTAATATTATATATCACTACACCATTTTAGGTCTACGGCAACACGAAATCTTGACAACGCTTATAAAGTGTTGCCTAAAATACTTTTGCAAATACTTTTAAAGTGTAGCCAATGATTTTGACTTTTAGCTACATTAATTTTAGCAACACTTCTAAAGTATACTCTTTAATGGGATAAACTACACTTTATAAGTGTTGTTATAGTTGGCAACAACTATTTACATGAATGGCCACACTTTTAAAGTGTGTTATTTTTATAATTGAAAATACAACACATTAAAAATGTGACCTTAGTGTTTTCACCAAAATTTTATATTCCCTCCAACATTTTAACATTAAAATTTCATCTCCCTCCCATTTTTATTTGGCCAAAAAAATAAAACATTAAAGAAAAATTAAAAAGAATAAAATATTAAAGAAATAAAAAAAGGCCACATTTCCTAAAACTACAGCTGAAGCTTCCATTTTCAGCTGAAGAACACCATTCGCGGTAGCTGAAGAAGGATCGAAGAACGGAAGAAATCAGTTGTTGTTCAAGATTGGAGAACACCATTCGTCACATTTATGTTAAACTTCAACTGAAGAACACCATTTTCAGCTGAAAAATCAAAGAGCACTGCGATTTCTCTGAACATGAACTGAAGAAGACGATTTTCCTCTCAGCTTCGTTGTTCAAGATTGGAGAGCTAAAGAAGACAATTTTCTTCAAATATTTCTGGATAAACTGTTGTTCCATCAGATTTTCTTTTGAAAATTGAAAGAAAATGCTTCACAAATCAACATGTCTCATGTCTTAAAGCTTTAGGTTGTTGGAATAGAGTTTATCAGGTAAGATATTTTACCTTCAAACGTTTAAATTATAGCTTTAAGATTTTTATATGCGTGTATGTCAGTCAAAAATTGGTGTTAGGATTTTTATGTTCTTGTGTTGTTGAGACGAATTTTGTTGATTTTGGGAGTTTAGTTTATAGTTGTATTACGTATAAATGGGCATATGTAAGCTTGGTTTTTATGGGAACCAGAGATCTTATTAATTTACTGAAATTTGCAGAGTTCTGTTTTAAAAACACTTGTTAACTTTTTTTTAGTTTGCTATGATTTTTGTTTTGAGATTTGATTCTAAAACATGGTTCTCTTCTTTTTTGAACTGTGATTTGCTCAGGATGCACAAAACAGAGTTGCAGCGTATGCTCTCCATCGCTTGTTTCCAGATCTCCCCGTTCACATGTCAATTACTGAACCATATGCATCACTTATTTTGCAGTGGGAGGAAGGTCATTTTTCTAACTTCACGTGAAGTCAAATGTTTGATATTGGTATTACATTAAGCATTTTGGTAACTCAATTTTATACTTCACCCTGATCAAATTGGTCTCTTGTAGCCATAGATCCCATAATTGTTTATCTAATCTTTTACTGCAAACTTTACATTGATAAACAGTTTTTTTGTCTTCCTGAGTTCATAGTTTGATCACCTTAAGCTTGGTTTGTCTAGTGCATTTTCAAGTATAGATAGTAACTTTAGCTAATTCAGTCGTTTTGGCCATAAGTATAGATAGTAACTCTATTTGCTGTAAATCTGTCAAAACGCGGCTGGATCGAAGGACCTCGCGACGGGACTTCGTGGTCACGACGAGTCATCGTGGACCTTGCGATGAGCGGCCGTGGACCTCGCGACGGGCCGTCGTAGTCATGAGAGGCCATCGTGGTCATGACAGGCCGTGGTCATGATGGGCCGTCGTGGTCATGACTGGCCCTCATGGTCATGACGGGCCGTCGTGGACTCCATCGTCCCATACTTGCAAGTTTCTTCTGCTACTTCTCTGATTTTCATGACGAACATGCAGGACGGACCGTCATGCTACGACGGTCCGTCACGCTTTCCGTTACAGCTGAAATTTCAAATTAATTAATTGTTAAATTTCTTAATTTTGTGTTCTTTCTTGATGGAACAGATTTGTTTACTGGAGGAATTGATATTCAAGCAGTTAACGTTGTTATCAATTCTGATTTTCCTAAGAACTCAGAAACTTATTTGCACAGGGTATGTATAACAGATTTTTGATCTTGCTTATTGACTTATATATTGTTTTTGCTATTTCATCATTGGTAATTTATTGTTAGTGGCTTTGGTTTGAATTGAGCTAAGATTTTGTTTCTCTTGATCACTATTCATCTTGCTTGTTTGGTATGGTTGAAGTGTAGTTTTGCTATGTCAGATTTAGTTTCCTTGTTTGATCGTGTGGAACATATTAACTACACAAGGAAACTAATCTAATTTTCTTTAATTTTGGTGCTAATGTAATCTACAATCTGGACTTGTCTCTCTTTAGTTGTTGTTAATGTATTTGGTTTAAATTGAGCTAAGGTCTTGCTTCTTTTGTTTCACTGTTTTTTTGGCATTTGTATAGAACATTGGCATGGTATGAAATCTGCAATCTGCAGATTTGTTGTTAATATTTTCTGTAACTGCTGCTTCTATATATAAATATTTCTGGCAGTAAAGTCTATTTTCTTTCTTATTATATAGAATATTCATGTTATAACCATAACTTTTGACATCCTAGTAGAAGGCATGCTTCCATAACTACAAACAAATAAACAAATAATTATTAGGAGAATCTAATTGTTTGTGTCTCCTCATTAATTCCTTTTTTCTTTAGTGTTCGTGTTAGTTTACGTGCATCATGGTTATTGTATAACACCAAATATTTTATATTGCTTCTTATGAAGTTTGAACCCTAATGCAATTATTCATTGTTGTTGAACTCATTTGAAATTTTAGACACCTAAGGGAAGATCATCTACTTTGAACATCAAAAGACAAGTAGGCATCTACTTTGAACATCAAAAGATGCAATCTAATTTTTAGTAACTGCTGGATTTCTTGCCTCTCTATATTGTTGCAATCTGAACTTCTTACCTCTTCTATATAACTGTCAATATCTTATTTGTGAAGGGAAATGGAGGTGATCAAATTTGAAGTGGATGATGAAGAGTTTTTGAACTATTGTAAAAGTTTAAATACATATTTGATTTATTGTGAACACATTTAGAATATTAATGTATAAGTATGGATATGTACACAACACATATTATCTTTTGGTTGTACATGAAATATTTCTCGAAGTTTATTTGAAATATATAACTTCAATTTAATGATTAATTAGTTCATTTTGTGTTTTAGGTCACTTGTATGTATGTAAATATATTATATATATTTGTGCTACATGTAGGCTTATAAATGTTGAAGTTACACTTTGTAAGTGTTGCTCTAGGTAGATAAAAAGTTACACTTTGAAAGTGTTGCAATAGATGACTAATAAAAGGCAACACTTTTTAAGTGTGACCAATAAATCTGAAAAGACAACGCTTTTAAGTGTAGTCTAACAAAAAATAGGTGTTGCTAATGCACGTCTTCAAAGCGTGCCCTTATACCTATTTGGCTACGTTATAAGTGTAACCAAAGATAGCAACATTTAAAAAGTGTTGCCTAATGTCAAAGGTTACGCTTCTTTTGGACAGCCCCTAAAAAGTGTTGCTGAATGTCCAAAAGTGTAGTCTTTTATCAAAGGCCACACTTTTTGCTAGTTTAGGCTACACTTACGTGGTGTTGCTGTAGGCCGAAAATGGTGTAGTGAATTAATAATTCTTTACAAGTATAAATAAATTTTATATAATTTAATGAAATATGATTCCATTGTGTTTTAGTTTTTGCTAAAATATAAATGTAGTTGAATCTCATCTCTAATTTTTTATTACATCCAAAATCTCAGGTGTTGTCTTCTCGAACTACACCGTAAAATTATGAAGAGTTCTAGATGCGATAAGTGTTTCATTACACATAACTACTTCAAAATGTATTGTATCATTTTCAACTGCATTACCAACATTGATGTATTCATTATACTTTATGCATGATAAATTTATTTTTGACGTGAATTCAATAAATATGATACATAAATTAGTAAGATATAATAATTTTGTTGTAATCAAAATTAACCTTCATTAAATCTCATAATACACTTTAAATTAATAAATATTAATTTATCAATTAAATAATATATGTATAGAATAATAATATTTTATAGTCTCACCTACATTAATTTAGTTAGGTTTTCGGGCATCTCCAACCAAATCCTCTATTATACTCTCCAAATATGTAGTTTTCTATTTTTTCGGACAACCAACTCCAACTCAATTCTCTATTTTACTCTCTAAAAAGGAATCTTTTTTTATCTCCTCAATATTATATTATTAATTCTATTTCATTCTTATAAATAATTACTTTATATAATTTTTAATGTGATATCAAGTTACATTTTATGCTAAATTTTAAATAACCTAAATTTCAAGAAATATAATATAATATATAAATTAGGGACAAATTCAAATAAAAGTGACATACAATTATATAAACACTCAATTTTTAAAATCATTATGTTGCTCCCATAAATGCTCTAGTAATGCATTACTAAGTTCAAAATGAGCACTTTTATCCTTAAGTTTTTGTGCCTAGCTAAAAATTGTTTAAATCGGAGATTTTCATCTACCATCATCTCTATGGTTGGAGTTGGAGTCTCTATGACGTCTTGAATTGGTGCGTTGAGATCAAGTTCATCTTCAATTATCATGTTGTGCAGTATATAATACATGTAGTCATTGTATCACTTCTATTCTCCAAAAATGTGACGGTCCAACAATAATTGTTAAACTCCCAATGCACGTTCAACATCTTTTCAATACGATTCCTGTTTCATCGTGAAATATTTCTTCTTTTGGAAATGAGGATCACGAATAGTTTGAACAATTGTAGACCATTTAGGATCTATACCAGCAGCTAAGTAATAACCAATATTGTATTCTTTTTTTTTGAATAACATAATAGGCGGGAGGCGTAATACCGCTAGCAAGATTGAAAAATAAATGTGATGACTCTAAAACATTAATATCGTTATTGGTGTCAGGCAAATCAAAATAAGCATGTCATATGTCACGTATTATATTGTATTGTTATTTTATATTTAAATTATTATGTTATGTATTGTATTGTTATTTTATGTTTAAATAATCATATCATGTATGTATTTTTAAATTAAAATTTTCATCTTTCCATTTTAATTTTATGTGTTTGTTATAATGAAACTTAAAAATAAAATAAAATTTTATTATTGATGAAAATTAGAAAAAAAATCCTATTAAATTTGAAATTAGAGTAGTATATATTAAAAAATATTATATTACATTTAAAAAAGAAATATGAATATTAGATATTCAATTTATAAAATTATATATAAAATAATATGTTAATTAAAAATAATAAAAATAATAATAAAATAATAAAAAATAAAATAAAAAGTGTGAATAGAAATTCTCCAAATTTGAAAAATTAATATTCACCTCTCAATAAATGGAGAATATAGAGCGGATGTGATTTGAAAGTTACTTTGGAGTGTCCTTTCTCTGTCGTTCTTTATAAGACCGTGGGGGGTCTTTTGTTGTTTACAAGTCAAATGTCGTATAATTATTATTAAGAAGATGGACCAATACAATGTGTACAACCACTTTCTCAAAAATTTATTTTCCTTGCTTTTGTTTTGTCTACTTCTTTATAATTACTTTTTTGCTTAATAGGATGGTTCTAAGATCAGGCCAACATGTTGCATTATGTTTTCATCTTTAATTTTTTATGTTTTATTATTTGATATAAATAAAAAATTATATCTATAAATTATAACAATTAATAACTTAAAATATTTAAAAATATTTAAAAACTATTAAAATATTTAAAAATATTTAAAAAGTTTTTGTTAACTCTCTAAAATTTCATCTATATCACATGAATTGAAATAAAGAAAACATATACTATATAAAATATTAGAAATATACTATAAATCACAATAATTAAATATATTATGAATGATAATAATAAAAAACTTGAAATATTTAAAAACACACAAAAATTTATTGACCTCAAATTTCACATGCATCATATAAAGAAATTGAAAGCGTAACAAATATTGAGCATCGTGATGACACAAGTTCCGGTCTCTAGTTAAACCAATAAATGCAATATGACTAGTGAATTCCCTTGAGAAAAAGGGAAGTGTAAGGAACATATATATACATCTTATCCCAACTATTTTCCAATGTATCGAAATTTTCTAACACTATCATCATTCAGAAACTACACATTCTTCTGAATACATCACATTTGTTACATTATACAACTAGTTTGTTGAGATTAAAAAGAAAAATCACAGTTAGTTTCGCAAATCATGCAAATCAAATCGATGTCAATCTCTCTCAAGTAACAGTTTCAAACAATTCAAATTTCAAATTTTCTTCTCTCAAGTCTCTCCCATAAAGTAACAAGATTAAAAAAAATCAACAATTTATATGGTTACATATCATATAAAAAAAAATTATGAATATGATATATACTGATTTTTTTTATAAAATAGTATTGCATATACTTAACAACATGTTATATATATAACGATAATATATTTTATAATTTGGTTGACTCTCAGATTCATTTGTCTCACTTAAATTGGATAAAAGGAGTAACATATATCATTAAAAAATTGCACAAAATATATCATGAATGATAGTAATGAACAATTTAGAATATTTAAAACATACTAAATTGGTTGACTTCAAATTTCATATGCATCACATAAATTGAAATAGAAAAAGTAATGAGAAAAGACATAAAGAGACCATCGAAGTTGTCCCATATTTGCACAAAGACACATAAATCTTTGAAGTGTCCCATCACCCCACTAAACAACTATATATCGTTGTAAATTGGTCATTTTTACCCATTAACTCATCTGGGTTATTTACACGCGTGTTAGGCGCGTCATGGGCCATTTTCCCTTTTTATTTACCAGTTTAAAACAGCCACATGTCATTTTCTTTCTTTAATATTAATTGTTTAATCAATTTTTGTATCTTCCCCAATTTAAACTCAAAAATAGCCTTTGGTAGCCCTAAAATTTTGATTTCCATGGCAAAAACAATATTGGTTCTCTTTTTTTGACGACTTCATCATCTTCCTCAAGAAAATAAGGTAGGAATTCGTCTTTTCTCTTTTAATTTCCAGTATAAACGTTAATTTGAAGTTTTTTATGGTTGAATTTCTTCTCAATTTTGTGGTTAGTTTTTTATTGAAAATGTCAAATGCAATGTTGAATCGTATTTGTAACAATGGCAACTGTAGGAGGTCGATTCTAACACTTCTACACTATAATAATCCATAAAATCAGAATAATCGAAAATAGTGAAGATTTTAGAACCCTGACATGTTAGACCTTCAATCTCCAAGAATCTTCACAAATAGACATCAACAACGATCAACAATGATCAACAACGAGATTGTCAACAACAACACTATCGTCAACAACAACACTGTGTATTTGGTTTGATTTTTTAGGGGAAAGTTGAGAAATGAAATGAAAAGGAGTTCACGAATTTTCTTTTAAAAAAAAGGTCGGGTCGGGTTACCTAGAGAGTGAGCAACACGCACGTTACATAGACGACGAAATAAGTAAAAATGGTCAATTTACAACGATATATAGTTGTTTAGTGGTGTGATAGGACACTTTAAAAGTTTAGGTGTCTTTATGCAAATATGGGACAACTTCGATGGTGTTTTTATGTCTTTTCTCAAAAGTAATAAATATTGGGCCTCGTGATGACACATGTCCCGTGTCTAGTTAAACCAATAAATGCTATATGACTTGTGAATTGCCTTAAAAAAGGGGAAGTGTAAGGAACATATACATCTTATCCCTACTATTTTCCAATTTATCGAAACTCCCTAAAATTATTGTCATTCAGATACATCACATTCTTTCGAATACATCACATTTATTACATTATAAAACTATTTTGTTGAGATTAAAAAGAAAATTAAATATCGGTTCTCCAAATCATGCAAATCAAATCGATGTTAATCTCTCCAAATAACAACATCAAACAATTCAAATTTCAAAATTTCTTCTCTCAAATCTTTCCCAAATAGTAACAAATTTAAAAAATCAACAATTTTATGTAGTTATGTATCATATACAAAAAAAATTATGAATATGATATACGCTGATTTTTTTTTATAAATTAGTGTTGCGGATACTTAACAACATGTAATACATCACTAACATTTAATACATTACTATGTTATACACATAACAAAGTTATGTGTTATATAAATAAATATGGATATGATACAAATTGATTTTGTTATAAAACATTAGTGTTTATGTATCAACAATAATATATGATAGTGTCTACAAATACATTATTAGTTGAACAAGACTGGTGTATGTATCGATAGTAAAAGATAAGAAAACTATAATAGTTGTGTATTCAATACATAACTATGTCCGTGATACAGAGTAAGTTGTGTTTCAATAAATTAGGTTTATGTATGAAAACTAATAATTGAAAATGGCATATTGTATATGATAAAATTGTAATGTATCATAAAGGTAAAACAAACGAATTATACATTAATTTAAGAATCAAAATTCACTTAATACATAAAAAGGATCTATTGGAATCAACTAAAAATCTGCTCTATATCAACTCTTGTAGTTTTTTCCACTTTCAGCAATGACATCATCCATAGATCTCGACTCAAAGTCCTTACTTGAGCCACCAACAACTCTTTATAAAATTATAATGTACCATAATGTTGAAATGAATGTATTATACATTAATTTAACACACAAAAACAACTAGATACATTTAAAAATTGAACTCATATATATTAAAAAAAGAGGAACAACCAAAAAAAAAAAGTTAACAATTTGATCTGCCGAAAGCCAAAAAAAAAAAGATAAATAAATTTTTCTATACTTTTTCTTTTTCTCTATATTAGTATTTAGTGTTAATAATAAAACATAATTTTTTCAATTTTTTCTTAATATATTAAAAGGGAAAATCCCTTTTTTTAAGGATATGAGACACAAAGTTAAGTGAATGGAGGGAATTAAATAATTAATAACTATGATCACATGATCGTACATTGAATTCTGCTTTAGCTTGTTCACTAATTCACACAAATATTCATCACATATGAAGATTGACATTTTACTCTCAAACCCACTGTTCGATCACAAGTTTATAATTAAGTAGTTTAATCACAAGTTAAATAACTATAATATAATATACATCATATTTAAAAAAATTCTAAAACGTCTCCCAATAGGAATTAAAAAATTAGAGGTATAATTATTAATTAGTTATTATCAAGGTATGTTGAGAAAGATTAGTGGAGAGAAAGGGTGTGATTTTCCTCGGAAGAAATAAAGAGCTAATAGAAATATGTCATGCTTTTGATGTGACTAATTTTTTCGTCCATTTTTATTTTTTAGTATCGACTTAATGTATTCTTTAAAAATAAATGATTATACAATTAAAATAATAGTAAATTAAGATTTTTTAATAAAACAATATATTTTTTATTTTTTAACTGAACAAGTAAAAATAAATATTTATATTTAATACGGTGAGCAAGTAAATGTACGGAAAGAGTAATATAGATCAATATTAAAAAGCTTTTATTGTGCTTTAAATTTTGTTTTCTATCTCCAAATATATATTATCAAGGAGGTAATACATGCATTTCAGCATGACCTTAATTTCCTCATGAATTAAGGACACTAGTTAGCTCCAACACAAATGATTTGATACACAAATTCATGAAGCACTAGCGTATGATTGGGATATATATTAGGTAGACAAATTATATCTTATTCTACTATTTAACGTAATTGTTTTATATACTTTACTTGAGTTGAGATATTTTGCTTTTTAAAAAAAAAATATATCTACTTTCATAAAATAATAGTAAAATTTACATACACTTCATTAAATTTTACTCATGAAATTACATTAAGTATATTATATTAATGGCTGGTATCCATGAAGTTTTACATAGTCAATTGTTATATGTGAATGAGAATGAATTAACTAATTAATTAATTGTCTCATTTTTGTGTATATTTGGCTGTTGTACTAGCTAGTTCTGGCCAGCAGTTGATCAGCATAGTCAAAAGTGAACAGAGAAAGAGAAGGTCTAAAGAATGCAGCTCTGGTTATGTTAGCCTGCACGTTAATTAAAATTAAGATGATGTAATGAAGGTCGTGTTGAAGTGGTAAACAGGGGTGAAGTCAGACTTAAGGGATTTATTAAAAAGAAAATTTCAGTTGAAAATATTATTATTTATATATGGTTAAAATTATCTATTAGTTATATATGGTAAATGTCGAACCTACATTAGTGAGTTTCAAGGGCGGCTCAACGTGATTGGGAGCCTAAAGCGAATTTTTAATTTAAGGCTAAAATTTATATACGTATTTATTCAAAATTTGTTTTTCTTACACTAATTAGATAAAAATTATTAGTATTTTAATATTGTATTTTCAATTATTAGTTTTAGGTAAATTTTATCAACTCAACATTGAAAAATTTTATTTTAGTGAGGCAATTATTATATTAATTGTTAACATAATTCTATAAGTAATAAGTTGACAAATTAAATAAAGATAAGAGTTAGAACCATTTGACACAAGAAGTTGATGACTTGATATACCCCATTTTAATATGCTTGTAGTAATTCTTGAAACCAAAATTTAAAAAGAAATAAAAAAAAGAAATTGTAATTCACCTTGTTCAACACTTTTTACTATTAATTTTTATTTTTAACAAAGTACAAAAAACGTTAAAATGGGTAAAATAATATATATTTTAAAAAATATACCTTTTATCATAAATATATAAAAATTTTGACACATAATTTTATTTTTGATAAGAATTTGGGGCAAAAGCCTTATTTTACCAAACATAGAGCCGACACTAGTTAGTTCATGTGTTTATTTAGATTTTAAATTTTTTATTAAAATTTCTAATTCCGCCACTGCTTCAATCTCCAATCTCAAATTCAAATTCCACTAAATATGGATTATTAGAGAGTATTTTCCCTGCACTAGATTTTTCGGCAAATAGACTCCCATGTGAATACAAACAAATGTAGGAAACAAAAAAAAAAGATGAAACCAAAAAGAGCCCATTTTTAATTTTAGTTTGAAAATAAAATGATATGCATTCGAGTATCTTTTAAAAAAATTAGAAATAATTAAATTTTAAATTTCTCATTTTATACTTAATTAATTAAATATAATTTATAATCACACTAATATTTCAATAGTGTTTCCTTTACATTTAAAAACTAGCTATGCAGAAGGAATCACATAGAATCAGCATCCACCACTTCGTTTCATTTATTTGCCTCATATTTACTTCAACTATATACAACCGTATATAGTTATTTAATAAGGAAAGGATCCGAAAAATATTTTAACTTTAATCAAAATTATTGTTATGATATCAAACTTTACGAAGAATCTTTTATTCTTAAACTATTTAATAGTATATTTTTTAACATTTGAACTATTTAATAACGTATTTTAAAGGTATATATATGTCTACATGGACACATTATTATTTATAATTATGCAATATTTTTTATGTCCACGTAAGCATATATATACCTTTAAAATATATTATTAAATAGTGTAAGGGTAAAAAGTCATTTCCAAAGTTTGATTTCGTAACAACAATTTCGGTTAAAATTCGAATCCTTTTTTTCTTATTTAATTATAATATTAATTTGCTAAAATGAAATAGTAAAAATAAATTTTAATTATTAGTATAGGATCAAATAAAATATTTTAATTAGTTGTAAAAATTTGATTTCCCAGCCCGTACGTCTCTAGTCTATATAAAAGGTGTGGGATTAAGTAATATTGAAACTCACTTATTCAAATGCAAATTAACTCATTGATTAAGTAGAAAAAAAAATGTGGAAGCTAAAAACAGCACAAGGGGAAGGATTATGGCTAACAAGTAGCAATAATTATATTGGAAGGCAACATTGGGAATATGATGAAGAAGGTGGAACTCTTCAAGAAAGAGCTATTGTTGATGAAATGCGCCAAAATTTCACAAAAAATAGATTCCTTCATAAACAAAGTTCCGATTTACTCATGCGTATGCAGGTCTGCTTACTTTTACGTGTTCATTATGTTGAAAATATATGTTTATTTGTCACTTTTAACACGTCATCAAGACATACAAGAAACGTTATTGTTATTATTATTATTATTTTCATGTAGGTAAGGAAAGAAAATGGATGTGTTGAAATTGGAGGAGAAGTGAAGTTAGAAGAATCAGAAGATGTAAGAGAAGAGGCTGTGAAAATTAGATTGAGAAAAAGTATAAGTTATTACTCAACAATTCAAGCACATGATGGTCATTGGCCGGCTGAATCTGCCGGCCCTTTATTCTTCCTACCCCCTTTGGTAATAATTAATTACTATATATACTACTTTTTTATAAATATTTACTACTTAGGACCTATCAAAAGTCATTTTCGTGACAAAAATATTTTACTAGTTTTCGTTTGTTTTATGTTTTTTTTATTATTTTAAAATTATTTTTCTAGAAAATATACGACTCATTCAGCTAGCTAGTGATATTGTTTGTTTTGAGTGTAAGCTCATACAAGTTTAAAACAAAGTTATTAGGATGTAAGATATGCTTACTTATATACACAATATTTTTTCATGTGTTTTATCGTAAGTTTGAGTGTTGAGGTTTACCCCCACCGCATGAGATTTGTTAGACATTTCCCCCTCTTTCTTGGGATTTGTCTATTCACTTGAATTACAACTCATACTGACAAGGCTGACACATCTTTAAAACGTGTTTAGTGGGTAAGACTTGCTTACTTAATACTTATATATCCATATGCCATGTATTTTGGGTGTCACGTATTGAAAAGAAGGATAAATATGAAAAAAGGTCCGAACAACATAATTCTCTTCAACAATTCACTTAATATAGACGTGAGGAATATTAGTCGGAGCTACTTACAAATTTTCAGTCGTAGTAACACGTACTTAATTGTGAAGGTGATGGCATTGTATGTGACTGGAGATATGAATGTTGTTTTGTCACCAGCTCATCAAATGGAGATTAAACGCTACACTTACAATCATCAGGTCTTATTCTACATATAATAATATTTTTGAAATTTTTATAGTATAAGATTTTTTGGAAATAATTTTTATGTGGACAGAATGAAGATGGAGGTTGGGGATTTCATATAGAAGGACATAGCACAATGTTTGGTACAGTATTTAATTATGTAGCACTAAGGTTACTAGGAGAATATTGTGAAAATAATAATGCATTGGATAAAGGACGTAAATGGATCCTTCATCACACTGGTGCTATTGCTACTCCTTCTTGGGGAAAGTTTTGGCTCGCGGTATGTTATTTTATTTGATACTTGTGTTGATCGAAGATATATCGAAAAACATTATTTTATATTAACTAATATTAGGTGCTTGGAGTATATGAGTGGGATGGGTGCAACCCAATGCCACCAGAATTTTGGATTATGCCTACATTATTTCCTATTCATCCAGGTTAATTTTTTTTATATTATATTTTATTTATAAATTTTAAAAATAAGAAGGGGATTATAAATAATTAAATTGATTTTGTAATGTACGTAGGAAAAATGTTGTGCTATGCTCGTTTGGTGTACATGCCTATGTCCTACTTATATGGAAAAAGATTTGTTGGAAGGATAACTAGTTTGGTACAGACTATAAGAGATGAAATTTACATCCAACCTTACCATCAAATTGATTGGAATAAAGCAAGGAATACATGTGCTAAGGTTTGTGGAAAATTATTATATATATTTTTTGTTTTTTTTGGAGTTACATTATTTGGTCAAGGTTAATTAATAATAATTTCTTCGAGTTAATAGTGGATAACTAGACAAATGAAGTATAATTTCATTATTTTGCAATTATTTTGTTTTGTATGAGAGAGAAGTGAATCAGTATAGGAAGTACTCTTTTCCTCCCTTCACTTTTACTTGTTACGGTTTGACTTGACACACTTACTAAGAAAATAATTAATAATATATGATTTTACCAAACTATTCCCTATTAATGATGTCTTGAAAAATGAGTATTTAATGTTGAGGGTAAAACATGAAAAAAAATTGTCTATTTTTTTATATATCAAAAGTGATAAGTATTTAGAAAAAAATGACAAATAAAAGTGAACGAAGCGACATAAAATAACCATAGTTGTGCTAATTGACCTACACATTATTGTTATAAAAGTGAACATAATTAATTGTAAAAGCATGAAATAATATATGTTTTTTTTTCTTATTTATGATGATGATAGGAGGATCTTTACTATCCACATCCATTTATACAAGATACACTTTGGGGGTTCCTTCATCACTTTGCTGAGCCAATGTTAAAAAGATGGCCATTTAACAAGTTGAGAGAAAAGGCTTTGAAAGTTGCCATGGAACATATTCACTACGAGGACCAAACTAGTAGATACATTTGCATTGGATGTGTTGAAAAGGTATGCCTCTAACTTACTAAATTCATTCCTTCAATTTGTGGCGATGTTTCACTTAGTACCGAGTTTAAGAAAAAAATAAGTAAGAAATTAAAATTTTGTAATATAAAATAAGTTTTAGATATATAAAACTTGTTTCGATTCAATGATTTGGAATTTTCTACAAGAAGTTTAATTTTGTTCAGAAGGAAACACTTGCTCTTCTTGAAATTGTCACGACCCAAATCCGGGCCGCGACTGGCACCCACACTTACCCTCCTATGTGAGCGAACCAACCAATCTAAACCTTAACATTTCAATATAATATCAACAGAAAGTAATGCGGAAGACTTAAACTCATTAATAAAATCAATAACTATTATTATCCCCAAAATCTGGAAGTCATCATCACAAGAACATCTACGATCAAACGACTAAACTAAGATTATTCTAAAAGCTAAAAATACATAAGAAGCTAGTCCATGCCGGAAGTTCAAGGCATCAAGACTTGAAGAAGAAGATCCAGTCCAAGCTAGAAACATTAGCTCACCCTGAATTTCCGGTGTAGTGAAGACTGACTTGAATTATTGTTGAGTTGAAGACGACGGCACGTTTGCTGCACTCCACAAATAACAAAGAAGAAAACATAAAAGTAGGGGGTCAGTACAAACACGGGTACTGAGTAGATATCATCGGCCAACTCAAAATAGAAAACAATATATACCAAGTAATATCATAAAGTCAACTATGATAC